ACCCAAATACTTTCATTACTGTATTTCAGTGAAACCTTCAGTTCTAAGCACCTAAACAATTTAAAGATGGGACTTAACTCTGAAAGTTTTACAAGCAAATTAAGTATTGCCACTTTTTATTCCTTTTAATCCTGCAGAATAAAAAAGATAAGCTAAATTCATTAGACAGCAGAATATTTCAGTAAGTTATAGCTGAACGATTCCACTAAAACCAACAGCAGTGAAAAGAGGGCTACATTTGACCAGAATCTTTCTCACTGCTAAGGATACTTGAAAGGAAGAGACTGCAGACTTACTCCCAGGAGTCCAGTTTGAATTTATACCAACTAGTAACTTAAAGTTTTATATATAAAATACTAAGAGTTGATAGATACAGAACTTATCACTAGATTTCCAGGAGTCACTCCGCAAGATACAAGTGGTCCTTGCCACATTAACAGCCAGAAGTACTGTTATGTACCAGAATTTTTTTAAAACTCAGATAATGCAATGATATACAATGTGAAAGTTTACAGTTTCATTTGCCAGCTTTTCAGTGTGTTTAGTGACCTCCAACCTGCAGGGGAGACAAAGCTGATATACCAGGAGAAGGAAGTTTCACCTTCTTACAAATACTAAGCAGAGCTTTCTCCAAGCAACATCAGTGCCCCTGCGCCTTAGATCTATAGATACAAATAAATACACTCTAAGTAACGTGGGAGAGGGATTTTGTGGTGCACTTCTGCTTTTTAAATTGATTTTTATAGAAACTCAATACTTGGTACAAAAGAGATACAAGAGAATCTACAGATCTTAAGAGAGAGTAGTTTTGTGTAAGTGCACTACTGCCCTCCACTGGACCTGATCAACATCTGCTCCCACATTTATAAGCCACTTAGCAGACCCTGGAGGGAACTGCGCCTCTAGATCATCATGACTGTGATATGAGAGCTCAAGATTTTATGCAAATGCAGAATAAACGCAGTAAGTTACTGATCAATATATCAACTGTGATAATTCATCACCTTAAATGCTACAGCAGCTTGTTCCTTCCCTCGCAAGCATCAGGAGGAGAATCCAAATATGAGTATCAGCATCAACAGCAGAGCTGGCCTGTGGGACAACAGAACATTCGGAGAATTATAAGTCAAGCGCAATCTTCATACACAAAAATACTTAAAAGCCTTGATGTTATTACTGCAAGACTACTGCAGCTTATAATGCAAAAATTAAGCATACAAAGGATCTTAGCGTAATTGCTTTGATTTCAGTGGAATTAAACCAGGGGCGAGTTTTACTGTTAGACCAAATCCTGCTTTTGATTAGCCTACACAACCACATTTATGGGCTCAGATGCGGCTCCAGTTACCACAGCTTAATGAGTTGCCGCATGTAAACTAAGCTGTAACAGGCAGAGCACACAGCTTTAGCCTCAACAGTTATGAGATAAAATACACAGCTTAAGCCTCAGCATAAAAAAGTTTAAGTAAAACAATTTTAGTTTTCACATGTGACTGCTAAGAGCAGACACAAGTTCAGCTACTGCAGTCCAGCTGATGAGAGGCCACTCATTAAACAGCAATAATCCTAACCTTATGCTGAACTATAAATTCTAAAGTGATTAACAAAGTCTTTATGGTATATTTTAATATAATTTACATTTATATTTTGACTTAAACTAGCAAATAAAGTAAATATAGCCTGAATTTGAGTGTTTAGTATGCTACATAGGTATAAATCCAGTCCACTGAGTAACATAAGTAGAAAAAATAGCCAGAGTAAATGAAGGACAGAACCAGAGGGCAGACTTATAAATTCAGCATGACCTTGACCAATCTGAAAATTGGTCTGAGAAGGGTGGCATTCAACAGTGACCAGACCAAGAACAGTCAGTTGCACAAATCCAGAAAGAAAACAGCTGTTCAAGCAGCATTTCTCAGACTGTGACTTCTCCATCCTTTTTGACCATAAACTTCATGAAAGTTAACAGTTTTACCTTTGTAAACACTATACTATGATGTATAAACTTGAATACAGCCTGAAAAAACACATTCAGCACTAGTAAGGCCTCAGCTGAGTAGCAGTATAGAGTGGTTTTCCAGTGTTTGGGAAACACACTTCAGGGAGACGTGTCGCACATGGAAAGGGAAAGGGTCCACAGAGGAAGCAAGAATGATCAGAGCTAAAAGTCAATATCTATCATACCTGAGTGAACTGGCGTTCTTTAGTTATTGTTTAACTAAAAAGACTCAAGTGGGACACCTCTAGCAGTTTTCAAATACATAATACTGTTGCAGAGAAGGAGTAACTTGTTTTCTTTATCCGTGGTGGACAGAAGGAAAAGTAGAAATGGGTTTAAATTGCAGCAATAAGTATTCAGGGCACACATTAGAAAATCTTTCAGTGAGAGATACAGTAAATCATTAGAATAAGTTGCACTGAGTCTCACACACCAAAGGCTTTAAGAACAGGTTAGACAAACACAGATAAGGAAAAATATAGGGAGGCTGGGCGTGTGTGGAACATCAATAATCTCCGAAGTCTTTTCCAGTCCATTTTGTCTACGAATTTCAGAAATAAGTAAGTGTAATGCAGCTGAGAACATAGATTTCATCTAACATACCCCTCTTTCGACAGTAACTCTATTTCAGTGGACTCAAGCCCACAGTTTACAGGCAGCATATTGGTCACAGAACCTTCAACATTGCTCATAGGCATCAAAAGTCAAAAAGAGCTGGAACAATGCCAACAAAAGTAGCAAAGCGTAACACTACTTGCAATACATCAGACGTTCAGGATTATTGCTCAGGGATCAGCAACAACAAAGAAAACTGTGTTACCTGGAATTCTTTTCATAGCTGTATCCGCATCAAATTTACCCACAGATCATCAAGTTTTGGTACTATTCGAACTATCATGTTACATTCAGTTGACATCAGTGACAGTATTAATGAGTTAACAGTTCATGGAGCGGGGTTCCTAACACGGCTTTCTATAGGGACTTGTATTCTTCTCTTGTTACTGTAAAGTTCAAAACTAGCTTGTGGAAGCTAAAGATCACTATTATGAAACTACTATGAAAAATAGGCCTAATAAATGAAAAAATGCCTTAGAATTAGACCCATGCTGATAGTTGGCCTTTTAAGGTAAAGAAATAGAGCTCACAAACTATGCAAGCTGCAGGTAAATTCTCCAGCTGTGTCTATTCCTAAAGGCACCCTTTTTTCTTGGTCACTTTTAAAAACTCTATGCGTTTTGAACTTAATAGGCCAAGTAACTGAGAGAATGAAAGAATGCCTCCTTAAAATTACTCTCTGGCTTGCTAGAGCTAGTGCTAAGAGCACATAGCAAGCCAGAGCAAGGTCTAAGCATTCAATGGAGCAAGTAAAAATCCATTTCCTATTTTCCCAATATTGGAATTTTCTTATTGATAATTATGAAAGTGGCAAAAATCTAACTTTTGTTTGATAGGATAAGGCCTATAACCCTATTTTCCCACAATTTCTTGAGAGCCATGGTTCACATTTTGCTGTAACTGTAATAATCTATTAGAGGAATAAATATTTCTACTATTCTATTTCAAAGCTCTTAAATTCCTAAATGCTGTACAGACAGGAAGAGGAAAGCCACTACACAAAAACAGCCTCTAGTACATCTTTAAGGAAAGATCAAAAGGACAATGATTTTCTTACAATGAATGCAAAGAGATGGCAGTTGCAACTACATCCTTTCGTTGCTGTTTCAGCTTTTGCTGACCAACCACAGGAGCACGGAGCTCCTCCTGCCACTGACTGCTGCAGCCCTGAGTGCTTCCTCATCCATTTGCTGCGTGCTTTCCGCAGCTGTCCTGCTACTAACACCTTCTCACCCGTCACCGAGCTAGCCTTCTGTTGTGCAGTTAGTAAACGGCCCCAAAAATATGTTAAAGTATCAAAAGGAAGGGGCATCCAATGGGAGGAACTGTCCCTCAGCTAGGAGGGACAGTTAAGAGCTACCACGCACTCCCTCACCAGTTCTCCACTGCCCAGGCTCCTCATCACCATGCAACAATTCTGGAGAAATTTAAAGAGGCTGCAACAGCAGCTTCCAGCTCCCCAAAGCCCAAACATAACTTCAAATTGGCTTTTCCAGTGAACTAGCCAGGAACTTAGAGCAGGAAGCAGTGGTTTCCTTTCAGTGACTCCCTCCCTCAGAAACACACCTGCCTCCTTTTCCTCACCCATCCCCTGGAAGCCTACTGCCCTCAATCTCAATCTGTGGAGGAAACAGATGTTCCTCCCCCCCGGAACCTCCAAAGCTGAACACCCCCAATCCTCAGCCCTTCACCTTCCCTTGCTCACTTTTGCCGCACACACAGGCCTTCCCTCCCTCCCTGCACTCCTCGAGATCCCCCACTCCCCAACATGTCCCCCCTTCTCTGCCACGGCTCCCCAGCTCCACAGCAGCTTGCCGCCTCGCCTCGCCTCCCCTCCCTCA